GGGGGGTTCAGCCACTTTAAAGCTCCCCAGGTGATTCTTGTATGCAAATAGGGTTGAGAACCACTAAAGACTGTATTAAGCATGTTCACTTTGTGCATAAAAGGAGTAACTGACTCAGTAACTTCAAAGCAGTCTCTTTAAAATATTCCTTCCTGTTTGGAAAAAAAATAAGTTTCTGAATTTCTGTACAATAGGCTCCTTGCAAAATTAAACAGAAAGACTGATATTACACAAAATCTAAATTTTATGTATTAACAATGAGGTTTCAGACTTTCATAGAAAGCAGCCTGTTACATTACAAAAGAGTTTTGAAAACAGGATTTCCTATTGGTGAAATCCAGAGGCTTAAATGTAGCATTTCTTTGAAACAGTGTGGCTAGGGTAGACTACGCTCTGTTCCTGGTGCCAAGGTCTCAGGGTCAGCCCTTGAGAGGGCCAGTTCATTTTATTCCACCCTTGGCAGCCCAAACTATTCTTTTATCCTGGGCGGTTCCTTCACAGGCACCTCCCAGAGACCCAGGCAAGGGGTACCCTTGGGAGAGGTGCAAACTTGCTATTCCCTGAGAGCGCCACTCTAAGCACTTACTGGTTCAGTGTCTTTCTTTGTCCTTTTTGCTCTTTTATTTATTTATTTTCTAATTTTGCATCAATCATTTAGAAAAAATGGTCATTCTATTTATTAACACCCAGACTGAAAATTGTAAACATCAGGTTTTATCACTAATCATTTAATTGTGCCTAAACCTACACAAAGGGTTTATGTTTTTAGTGCCTTGGTTTCTTCCTTTTGAAAAGTAGGAATCAGTTACCACCCATAAGTGAAGGGCTTCATGTCAGAAGTGTTCTAGGTAGAATAGGTATTTAATCATTGTTGTTATCTGACAGCTCTTTTGTCAGCTGTCATTAGTATTACTCTAACAGACCTAAACAAATAGGTATGGCTGGCACCTGACTCTAATTCAGTTTAGCAAAGAAGTTACAATGCAGCAAAGACTTGTGGATGGCGTGTGTGTGCCAAGCACATTTTTACTAGAGTAGCTCAGGCACATGAGGCAGGTGTCTGTCCTTGAATGGCCCTCTCCTAGGGGTCATCAACCTTTTGCAGCAGCTTCCAAAATGGTCGCTTCATATGGACAAGCCCTGGACCCAGAATCAGTAGCAATGATAGCCTTGAAGAGACTGAGCCCTAAAGGTCTAAGTGAGGACAAGAACCCAAGTCTTTTGATCCTAGATGAATCATTCCCTCTATATCAAAGTTACATTTTCAAAGTTACATCTTTGGATATCAGAGTCAAATGAGAGGATAAGATATTTCAAGTTAATCACTTCAAGCATCTGACATATAGGAAGGACTCAAACCATTACCTCCTTCACCATCTTCTTCAATACTACGAGTGTTATAATCCCCTCTATGGAGTTCTGTTTGTGTATCAACTTGGCTGGACCTGGTTGAGTGGCTGGGCAGCTGGATGTAGTATTCCCCATGATGAGACTGGTAATCAACTCCATGGTGGAATCTACTGTGAGCAGCTGAGTAGCTGCCTTAGAGAATGTGGTCTGCTTCCTATGTATAAGAAGCCTTGGAACGATCTCTAGCTTATGGCACACTTGGACCCTGCATGTAGCCATGCCACTGTTCAGCAGCCTGCCATGCTCTGCCGACTTTGGGACTTACAGTAGACTTGAATTAATGACCTGCTGTGTGGTTTGGTAACATTGGGACTGTGCCTTTTTACTTGTCAACCTTGGGCTTGTCAGTCTCAACAGCCAGAAGCTATCTGAGTGAAGAAAAGCCTCTAGCTTCAGTGGGTTGGGAGCAGGAGGCAAAGCTGAAGCCCAAGGGGGCTTTCACCCAGCCCCTATAAAGTGGCACTTTGAACTTGGACTTAAAGTCTCCAAATTGTAAGAGAATAAACTTCTGTTTGTTAAGGCCATCCCATTTGTGATATATTCCTGTCAGAATGGCACTAGATAACCAGAACACCCTCTAAGATTTCTCTGACCCACAGTCCTTGCTTATCTCTCTTTCTCTTGTCATCCTATAGCATTTTTTTTTTTTAAATCAATGCCCCCTTTCAACATTTGAAAGAATCTTACATTGTGCTTTTTCTCACTAGTGTTAGGTTGTTAGCATCCTAAGGTTGTCCTTAGTATCTTACAGTATTCCCTGTCCTCTTCATATCAGTGCTCAGGGAACTGCCTTGTATTTGGTAGACACCCAATAAGAATTTTTTAATTTTTAGTGTGCTCTACAACTAACTGAGGGAACTTGAATGGCACAATCAGTTTGCAATTGGCTGTTAACCTACATCTTGGCAGTACAAACCCACCCAGTGGCTACATGGAAGACAGGCTTGGCATACTTCTTCCATAAAGATTAGCACCAAGAAAACCCTGTGGAGCAGTTCTACTCTGTAGCACATGGAGTCACTGTGAGTCGGAGACTGACTCAGTGGCAGCTGACAATGGCTGCCTCTACCAACCACCAACTAGGCTTGGGAACGCTAGACCTCTTTGTCCCCCATCTATAAAAGAAGGCAGAGCTCTGTACTAACCTGTTTGTCAAGCTGTCTGCCAGCTCTGTGGCAGCTCTATAATTTTTTTTCCCCTTTGTAATTCCAGTTAGGGTTTGTTTTTTTTTTTTTCTTCTTTGTCTTATGGAATTCAGTTTACTCACACATTTTTTATCTTATTTATTTATTGTTCCAACAGTACAGAGCAACTGATTTTGTTGTTCCTGGGCCTGGAAAAGTAGAGATAACCTACACGCCAAGTGATGGAACCCAAAAGGTGACATACTTGGTACATAATTTTGAAGGTTTGTATCTTGAGCCACCTCTATTTTTTGACAGATCATTTAGATGACATGATTACTGATATTTTAAAGTGAATTTTATGGCTGCCTTGAAGTACAATCTGTGTCTCTGATGTTTCTCTAGGACCCAAATCTAACTTAAAAAAGTAAATACCTTCCACGTTAAGAACAAAGGCACAAAAGGGATTCACTCCTCATTGGAAATACATATAAGGAAAGACAAGTAGATAATTATCCATTTGTCGTAATATGGGGAGAGAAGCTTACCAGGAATCTGTTGTGTTAGAATTAAATAAATGAGAATAGCCCCAGTCACCCACCGTGTAATTTTGCCCTTGCAGGAAATGTTTTGTGTTCTGTATTTTTGTTTTGCCCTTCCAAGTATTTATCCTTTGAGAGTAGAATACTTGCTTTGTGCCTTTTCTTCCCAGCCATTCATTTTCCTTCATGAAAAAGGTCATTATGGCAAAACCCACCCAAAAGTTGATGAGAGAATAAGAGGGCCCTCTTTCTCCACTATCAAAGTTCCTAAAAGCCCTCACACAAACCATGAACAACCAAAATAATTCCACAGTTTTTGTTTTCCTTGTCTCCTCCAAATAACACTATTTTCACAGAATCTAGTTATTCCAGTTTCAAGGCCTTTTACTTTCTGAGCCCAAGTTGGCCTTGGGCAGTGACATGTATTTAAGGTCTGTATTTTACTAATAACAAAGTTCAATTAATAGTAGTTGTGAAACACTAGTGATTCTATGTAACATGATTTACTAGTTATAGTAAGAACCTTAATTACCCTCCAGGAAATTAAGAAAATTTTCATTTAATATTTGAAATTCAAAGTGTTTTCAATGGTTGAGGATTGAATGCACACCTAAAGTTTAAAATACATGTTGGAAGTTTTAAAAGTATGTAAAAGATATTTTTTAAATTATTCACTCTTTCTTAAGTGTGTTTTTGATATTTAGTATCTTCAGGATCCTAAAGACCATATGCTTCTCTCACTTCAATTGCCCTTTCAAAACAAGTTAGAATGTTCTTATCTAGACCTGGTTTTCCTCATGAACTCATGGAATTCCAACTGGAAGCCTGGCTGGGACTTTCTGACGCCTGGGCTCAAACATGGCGGCTGGGAGTTGGGTTCTTTGCCAGTAGTGGGGTGGCTTTTGCCTTGTTGTAACTATACCTCACTTACCTTTCCTTTTTTCCTTCCATCTGTTTCCCCAACAGACGGTGGTGGTGTTGCCATGGGGATGTACAATCAAGATAAATCAATCGAAGATTTTGCACATAGTTCTTTCCAGATGGCTCTGTCTAAGAGTTGGCCTTTGTATCTGAGCACCAAAAACACTATTCTGAAGAAATATGATGGACGTTTTAAAGACATCTTTCAGGAGATATATGACAAGTAATCTTTTTTTCTTTTTTCTCATGTAAGCTGGTACCTGTGGGACAGAAACTCTGTTCTAATCCCTTTGATTCTGGGACAAATCAAATGAAAGCCATCACTCTCGTAAAGATGAGTCCAAAACTGGGATTTAACAGGAGTGAAAATGAATCCCTCTGAGTTGCTCTTAGAAGGTAAACATGCTTGCAACCAAGGGCTTTACATTTACTCTTCAGAGTCAGGATTGCTCCATGCTTGAAAAAAAGTAACATGCTAGTGACAGAAAGTTCTAATTTTTTTTTTTTTATATATACTTTTTTTTTTTAATTTTATTTTGATTTGGGTGAA